TTTCTTCAGTAAAAGGAAAACGTGTATTTTTAACCCTTTGGTATCCAAACTCTTAAATACGTAATTATGAAGACTTTCTTAAATATATTCTTCAGGTAACAATAGGAAGAAACTATTTTTTAAAGTTTCTACTTGAATAAATTTGGTGCCAAGTTTTCAATTCAAGTTCAACATTACTGAGGACAGTTTTATGTTGCAACTGAACCCCAGCTATGTTTGCATACATTAAAATATAACAGCATCATTCAAAGAGTCTGATGAAATATTTAACCTGCTCCCACTATAATTTAGCAAAGGAAAAGACATTTGAATTTAGAAATCATTGGTTTTACTTGAAAGCACTATATAAAAGCAGTGCTTAAACAAATATTAAAACCTATATATTATTCAGGCTGTTATGAAAAACAATCAAAATTCTAAACTGAATTTGTCAACAACTCTAGAATACTGTCAGCCTGCTATCTATCTGCTCCTTTCCAGCAGGCAGAACTTCATCAGCTATCTCGGGAAGTAATTCCTCCACCTTGCCTGCAACAGTTTAATAAAAGGAAAAATGAGCCAGGAAATTGCAAGATCAGACAAGACTGCTGTAGTGACAAGTAGGTCAGGGAGGGAACACTAGGTCAGGACTGGAATGCACAGGATCCAAGATCAGAAACCACTAATTCAGAGTTACACTGCTAATAAATTTCATGGTTGGACTATTATTCTGAAGGGCAAATAGGTGAACGAATGAAAAGAAACCACAAACTTCAAACATGAATAAATGTCTAATGAAGTTTGCCAAGGGCAAAAGCTGCAAAACAACTTCCGACACTAATATTACATATGCTCATCACATGATTTGCCCTAATGAAAATTTTGCTTCTAGACAGAGCTCTACGGGTAAGCAAATAAAGGTGGGTCATAAACATGGACCAAACTAAACCAACTCCATATCAATTAAGAATTTTTAAAAGTTCAGCAAAATACTTTTTCCTGCAACATTCAAAAGCCTATTATGACCACATTTTAAGACTTCTGTTACTAAAGCCAACTGTGTCTATTTTCTAAATTAGGCAAGAAAGATTTTTTCAGAGTGAATCACTGAACTTGCTTATATATAAGGTTATAGATGCTTCTCCAGCTATCTGATGATCATAGTTAAGCTCCTCTTGGGATGAAAATAATTAAGTTAAAATATATGTAACCCACTGGAAGATCTGGTTACCACAGAATCAATGGCTTCTACAGAAATGCTCTCCTACAAAAAGCTATGGGACTTTGCCACAACGTAAACACTGGCACCTGGTATAATGTGGTATTAAAATGGACTAGCAAATTGGCCTTAGATGCAAGCAATTCTGAATCTCTAAATCCCACTAAATCCCTTTATTTCTACTCTGAGGCATTAAAAAAAAATCTACTTTTATATCTGGTTGATATGGAAACATTCTCCACTACATCTCTCAAGAAAATACAGACAAAAATAACCAAAATCAGTCAGTGCCAAAATACTAAAAGGAAAGATAATTCAAGGCTAGAAATGTGTACATTACAGAGTTGTTTGTAAAAGGTCTTTTTAAAAAAATTTATTTATATATATATAAATTTTTCTTTTGTAAAAGTAAATGCAACACATAAACATTCAGGATTGATCCCAATCTTTTGGAGTCAGGGAGGAAACGTTTGATTGAATCACCATGCAGGTTACATTCATCTTCCACTGGCATGACTAGAGCCCCCGAGTCACCTGAACAGAACAGTGCCCAGCTGGCCTGTGGGAACACAAATAGGCTCTCTTGCTTCTCCTCATTGGTCACATAAAAGGTGGTCTTAATTATCAGCAGACAGCAAATTTTCAAGAGTCCTTCTCTGAAATCACATTAAAACTTAATTTTATATTGTTACTTATTTGATCATCCAAAAGAAAAATAAGGCAACAACTTTTCCATGTTACTATATGTCCTTCCTCCAATCAAAAACCCTTTGCGTGTAGCAAGTAGCATTCAAATCCTGGCTGCAATGAAGAACTGAACTGCCATATAAGCGAAGTTAAGGATGATGACAGTTTAACTTACTTAATAAAAACTCCCTACTTGAGAAAAAAATGAGAGTGAGAAGCGTCTGTAGAGATTTAGATCATTTAAAGTATACAAGCATTCAGTCTGGTCACAGAACTGACACTTAATCCTGTGTGTTTTTTATTTTTAGATGTAAACGGTGGCAAGTAACAATGACAATCATATAAGGAGAAACAAAACCTCACATGAAAAAGAAAACTTGGCACCAAAACTCAAGATGTAAAATAAGAGAAGAAAAAGAAACTCCATCAACATACTCACGTGTGGTGCTAGAAAATGTGCTACGATGCACAGCAGCTGACATGCGTTATCTTACAGATGCAGCCTACATTGACAAGTAGGTTATGTAACAAACCATTCTAGCCACAGATGCCTGGTACGCTTGCCCTCACCATCATCTACCCCATGACCAAAAAAGCAGCAACTTCAGATTTTGGCCACTTTACGTAGCAAATATATAAAAAGCAAAGTAGGAATTAACAACAAAATTATTAATTACCACCAAGTGTGATAAAATACTGATACAAGACAGCTTTTAATCTGGTCACGGAAAAAGGAAAAATTTCCACCAACTCCTAAACACTATAGCATGTAATATTAAAATTAATAATCTGGCTCACTTTGAACTGGGAACAAAATAAGTTAACTTCAAGTAAGTAAATTAATTCTGGGCCCCTTGATGACCTTAAAAGAAAAAGGCATTTTTATTTGCTAGGACTACACTTTACCATATGAGCAACATAACAGGAAACAAATAAAAGAGATCTAAGTACCATAATTTGGGGGAATCAAACTATCATTTGTTGGTAGACTAAACGTGTTAAACTATAAAAATGTGCAGAATAGATATTAAAAAGCAATGTACAATTTAGCTTACTGGCAAAACTGACATTTTATCTAGATGTTAAAACTAAATAACCACATATACAATAGCAATAAATAATGATTACTTGTGCTCTATCTCCAGGCCAAAGACATATAATTTTAAAAATTGCTTTTGGCTAGGTGGCTCAGGCTAAATATTTCTTCTAAAAAATATCTGAAAGTTCAGTCAAGGGAAATCACCATATGCAGGGTCTTGAGGGAGTGGCTCTTATACTGAGAAGGAAAAACAAACTGGCACTCGAGGCCATGCTCAGTCACACTTGGTGGGAAAGAGACACTCGAGGGTCCTGTAACAAGGACAGAATTGTAAATAAAATGATCTCATTTTAAAAAGACACCTATTAAAAAAAAGGACATAGTGCAAGAAAGATATTTATTGGTTCAAAGGATTAAACTATCCATTAAAGTGAATAAAACTAACATCTTAGTAATAAAATGCTCAGGACCAATTAGAGTACTGTTTAGAAAGATAAGTCACTGAAAAGATCAACTTCTAATTATTCATTATTTCAATAAATGACAATTAAGGAATTTAATCAATTATTTTACGACTCTGTATTTTATAATCAAAGCTTCTGTTGTTAAAATTAAAGATTTAAGTTTTAAATCTAAAAAACAGCTAAGAAAACTGCATCTACAACGTTGCTTTAAAGCAATGCAATGAGAATCATCTTGATGTTTTCTAAACTGTGTAATATATATTCATATTATCAATTGTTTTTACGTTACCTTAAATTATAACTACATATGAAGTCACAAGGTTCCCTGCAATGTAACAGTTAACACAGGTCATATTTATAACACTAAATGGCTACATAAGTAAATGATCCAAGCCCAAACTAATGTCTAATCTTAACAATAATACTTAATGAAACAGAAGCTAAGATACTAAGAGCCTAATGATAGCCCTTGGTATCAGACAGGCCTTTCATTAACCTATATGGTTCTGCTGTCCAGGATCTGTTTTCAATATTTATTATAATACAGAGTCAAAACAATGAAGTGGAAACCAAAGGGTTAAACTAAGTCAGTTTTGTGGGTTTTATTTCTCCCAAAGTCTAAATTTTCGTATTTCCAATTAGAATAAAGTGGTTTGTAATTAATTTTTATGAAATATTCAAGACACTCAAGGTAAAACAAAAAAGCTGATATTATCATAGTTATTTTGGTTATTACAGCTCTATAGCTTACACTCAATATTTAAGGGTGAAAACCGCATCCATTTTGTTAATGCTGTGAACTGCAGAAGAAAAATTTTTACAATGAATCTTCAAGAGAAAGTTAATACAAATGAATTAAATACTGAAATAAACGTATAATGCCATGGCTAGCTAATGATTTGCATACAAGATCACATTTTAAAATTAATACACTTAAATGTTAATATTGTTCTCTCAAGCTAGAAATTAGCCAGTTGATGTAAACTGGGCTAAAACAAGGATATTCTAAAATAATGCCATCAGTATCAAAAACTCAGAGTGAGTTTTTAAGTCTTTAATGTGTACAGTTCCATTTTACAAGGAATTATAAAATCACTGAACAATCATAACAGGTTTTAAAACATAAGATGTTCTCATATCTGCTAAAAGATGAGGAAACCATCTTTTTAGCAAAATTAAGAAAAGCTAACTGTCTGCAAGAATTTTTTTGAGCCAGAGAGGCCTGAAAAGATATTCTAATCCAATTTGAGGCACTCATTCTGAAATTAAAACTTGGCAAAGTTTGAAGACTTGCCCACAGTGACACAATTAGTCAATGGTAAAGTCAACAATGCCAGGCTCCAAATTTAATGAGTTAACTGTTCCTTCCACCCTAATATACTCTCTCTCTCACGGCAAGAACGCTGAGGCTGCTGGGATTCAGCCCCTTCTGCTAGTGGTCAGCTCAACTCACACAACAACTTGCTCACTAACGCCAACTGATCTAAAAAGCAAAACTCTACTACCAATATTGAAAACAAAGCTCAGAACTTTTGCTTGCTCTAAATCCTGTCTCTAAACACGACACCCTTGACCACATCTTTGGTTGGCAAGAATAAATGAAGATGCTTACTCGGCATGAGCCCCGTTAGCCACCAGGGCACTAATGCAGTCCAGGCTCCCAGAGCGAGCCGCCTTGTGAATAGGAGTCTCGCCCTCACAGTCCTGAAACAACAAAAAGGAAAGCATTAAGATCCATACAAGACTTCCACATTCTAAAGTTAATTAACAAAGGCCACGTACCATCTCATTCCTCTGAAATAGAATTAAGGTGAGCCAGATCTGAAGCAAAACACAAAGAAATGTAGACATGAAGAGAAAATAAAAGCAGACCAAGGAAGGAGCACGTTCTCCTGAATTCTTAGGTCAAGAACAAAAAAATCATGGGGCCTCTCCAACCATGACAGCACGTACACTCTAGGTGGCAATTTAGAAATAATTTTTATGATGGATCACAGCACAGATGCATATAACACCCAAAATTATTATCCTCAGACCAAAAAATAGTAATCAAGGCCTAATAGCTAACGTCTGGTCTAGTCCACCCACGTTCACCTATGTCCACCACAGGAGAGCCTGAGTCAATACACACCAGTGCCTCCCCCTGGATTTTTTAATCTCGAGCCTGAATTAGGACTATACTTTAGACAAGACAGCTAAGGTTGAAGGATCAAGAAAAAAATGGGAAGGGAGAACATAGGGTCAAACACAGGCAGCTCTGTATACAACTCAGCCTGTTCTGTGATAGGGGACTTTGTTCAAGGACTTTTAGAAAGGATGCATCAGAACCTGACTGACCCTTCAGGAAACAATGTTGAAGGAGGCATAGGAAATGAGCAGACTCGGGGAAATGACTCTGAAGACTCATACAAAAAAAAGAATTACTTTACACTGTATGAATGGACCAAAAAAAAATGTGAAACACAATTTCATTCATAGGCTCTCAGGTAAAAAAACAGGTAAAGAAAGATACAGCGATTAAGAGAAGGAAGTTGTTTCCATTAGAAAAACTGATTTAGGACTTTCTGCCTCAGAAATGCCAACTGACTAAGCAGCAACAATTCCTGAATCACTCACATCCCATCATCACTGAATGCGAACTTGGCAGTAGAAAACTACACACAATTAAGGGATAAAGACATAAAGCAGGAGTGGGGCAATGGCGCACAGTGCATGGCACTTGGAAATATTAACTCACCGGGGGGGAAACCGAGGTGAGGACTAAACTAGAAAGGAGTGGTAGAGCATTTCACAGAAAAATATAATATGAAAGACTCAACCACTTACTGGAGGGAAAAGTTATGTATAAGCTCAAAAGTGATGTAAAGTTCCCAACAGAGTAGTCCCAATTTTGAAGAAAGAAACAAAATCATGAGGCTATACAAGGAACTATCTAGTGAAATCAGACTTAAAAACCAAAGAAAAACCTACCCTATTGTCTGAAAAGAGGAGGGAAGGGAGAGAGGAGGTACATAATAAGGACAAATAAAAATTACGTACACGTATTGCCAGGAAAAGTAGAACTAAGATTTAGGTGAGATTTTGACAAACACCACAAAAACTCAAGAAAACCAAAAAGGATTTTAAAAGCTATCTTTGGTACAAGAAGAAAAATGTTTTCTATACTATTTCAAGAACAGGGTGGGATAGCAATAGATGCCAGAGAAAAAAGCAAAACTACCCTGCTCCTGTTTTGTGTTATACAAGGAGACTATTTAAGCTGGGAAGGGCAGAATAAACACTATTTAAAGAAAACTGCAACCAAGAGAATGAGAGTAAAGAGCCATTTTAAGGTTACTCACATCTCAAGTTCAGACCAGTCATATTTCAAAAATACCAATAGTCTGTAATATGATTCTAGAACTATTGCTGGCAAACTCTGAGTCATAAAGGACAGGGGGAGAGGTGCCAGAAATCTGAAAACGGACAAGTCACCTTGAATTTTAATTAAAACAATCTTACTTCTAATCTAGTTACAAGGAACTAAAGGCAATACCAAATGCCAGCCCCATTCTAGAAGGGTCACTAAAGAGATGACGTACAAGAAGTGACAGCCACGGGCAGCCACCACTTAAAATCTAACTTCACTTCCTCTCTGGGTAAACTTAGAACACCGAGCCTCCAGACAGCACATCTGAGCTTCAGTAACCCCTCATGCCAACCTTAGATATGGCAGAGAAAGTCTCTATTAAACTTGAGGAAAAGGAACTTAGAATGGTAAGAAACTACCATGCCAAAAGAAAAAAAGGTATGCTAAGGTTCAAAAAATTATAGGCACGCAAACAATAAGAAAAACCTGCGTCTAGTTGCATAAGTTTATGTGGGAAATGAGAAAAACTGTCCACCTTGAGATGAGCCAACAGAAAGCCTACTGGGGCCTCAGGGTCAGTGAGTGCCTGTCGCAGCAGTCCAAACCGACAGCCGAGACTCGGACGGGCCGAAGCTCCGCACGTGAGACCACAGCTAACCAAGGCCCTTCCGGGAGCAGTGCCAAGACACTTAAGAAACCCAAGCGATACCCTCGTACATGAGAGGACGTGGGGATGCTGAGCCAGGTGGGCTGTTTAAACACAAGAGGAGAGCTGTAAGGAGAGTGGGATCTGGGGACTCTTGCCCTGGGAGCAGAGTTGAGGAGGGATTTCCACGTGGTGCTGTCTCGAGCAGCTGGGGGAAGGAGGAGAGTCTCAAACTTTTTACCTGTGGAAAATACTGAGCTGCTATAAATCATTACATGAAAAGGGGGCTTCTGGGTTTAAAAAGATTTGAAAAGCAGCGTTACACAATTTCTTTAGATCTCTCTAAATGTTATGTAACAATTTAATGAAAATCATCATATAGAAAATTTATACTTAAAACTCCACATGAATACTAAATATTAATTACTGCTACTCATGGGCTATCCGTATTCTATTGACAGGGAGATTGAGTTACAACCAGTAAACCACTTGCCCAAAGCCAGAGAGATGAGGAAGCAGGGCGTGCCCCTTCTACCAGGAGAAAAGGGGGTGGGGGGAGAATCCACGAGCAGGAAGGAGACTAGTGGGGACAGGCGACGCCTAGCACCACAATGGTACAGAGTCGCCCACTTGTAACTCCTGAATTCACGGACCAAAGCAACAAAGCAGTAGAGGAGCACGCGTGAAAGAAGGAAGAGTGGAGGGTAGCAGGTGACCCAAAGAGCTGTCCCACATCCAGCTTGCAGCTTAGTAACAGAAACAGGCCTAAAATCCAGGGTTCTCCTCACACGCCCTTCCCACCCAGTCTCTTAAAGAGAACAAACTGCCCCCTTATCCCTCCCCCCCCCCCCCTTCTCACTGACCCTTGTTTTAAACCACTGCTAGAACACCCTTCCTCAATTCGGTGTCCAGGAGTCACTGCCTACAGGACACCTGGCTACTTCTCTGCGTCTGACCATCATCCCCACCCCGTACCTGAAGACAACTCGTGCTGCTCAACCTACTAATGCTACCTGAACCACACAGATGACTGCAGATGACTTAACTGCCATTCTCTTGCTGGAACAGATGTGTTCTCACAATTATCTGTGGAAACGGAGCTAAGGCAGCTGTGAGCAGAGGAGCCAGGAAACCGAGGCTCAAGGCCAGGCTCCTTCACTCACCAGCTGTGACCTTGGGCAACTCACCGTGGGGCACAATAAGTCACATACAGGCGAAAGCACTCTGAACACAAGACATTGCTATGTGACGGGCCAATTATCCACAAATAACTTCATAAACGTAAGTTCCAGTTAGCCCACAGGTAAAGATATCAAACTCTAATTAACGCCTCAATTTAAAACTCAACACCATGTAATTAGAACTGGAAGAAGGAAACAAAAACCAAACACGTCAATCATGGGCACTCCTTTACCAACCGCGTCAATCATGGGCGCTCCCTTACCGACCGCGTCAATCATGGGCGCTCCCTTACCGGTTTGTTAATGCTGGCTCCTGCTTGGATCAACCAGACGAGGCACTGAGGATGTCCCCCAAAAGCGGCGATGTGGGCTGGGGTCTGTGCGTAACGGGTGGTGGAGACATCCAGTGTGGCTCCAGCTCTCACTAACTGTATTAAGCACTCCAACTTGGAGAACAGCAGGAGGGGGATGAAACAGGCATACACGTCAGTATACTATTAAACGTTACACAGATAATCTAAATTCTGTAATGGAGATGAGTGGCATTTCTTGTTAAACTTTTTTTCTGTTTAAGAAAACAAAGTTAAGTCATTCCTTCCCAGTATCATACAAATTTTAAAAGCCTTATTTAAAAGAACATTTTCCCTCGTCCTTGTAAAACAAAGTTGGTACACAGGAATAGAAAGTCGAAACAACTGACACTATACAAGTTTAAATATTTTGTTTTTCCTACAACTGAAAAAGCCCAAATCAATATAATACTGTAAATCAACTATACCTCTGTGTTTAAAAAAGCCAAAGTCAGAAAATACTAGATTGCATATTCACAGACTTTTGTCAGAACTAAGCTTTGCCACTTGCACGCTCTATTCTAAAGAAGAAAACCGTTAAAGTGATTGGTCGGTAAACCCTTCCCGGGCAAAGACAATTTTCTGCAGCCTGCACTGGCCGCACTGGCTGAATACGATTGAGGCCCAGCTCCAGATCAGCTCCTTAGGGAAAAGATGTGTGGAGCCAGGGAGAGGGCAGCGCTTCGGCTTTTCATACTGTTTGTACAGACCGCTCCCTCCCATCGAAGATAAAAAGGCCTAGAGCACAGGTGAGCTGTGCCCCTAGCAGGTGACTAAAACAAAAAGGCACAGGAGTCAGGACAGGACTGTGCAGCCAGGCATCGGTACCATACTAGCTTCTGGAAGAACCAGCACACTCAACAAGTATTTAGCAAGTGCCTCCCGTGTGCCAAGCACGGCGGGAGAAGGCCTGCTGTCCTCAAAGGTTTACACTGCTCCGCCCAGCATGTCCTCAGGGTCCCCTTTCCCTCCCAAAGCACAATGCAGCTGGAGAAAAAGCTCTTACTGCCAACAATTCTCCTCCTGAGAACAGACCTCAAGCGAAGAACAGCTACACTCGGGTCCCACCCCGTGTCTCTTATCCTCTTTCAGCAATTTAAGCCTTTCTCTGTAAAGGACAGATCACCGCCATCAACGTTTGTGAGATGAACGCTCACAGTTGGTGGTACACTGATTTTTAAAACATGACCTGTCCTCCAGGAGTCTGAATCTGAGGGTAATGGCTGATAAAGAGGTACCACTTTGGTATATTTTTATCTATCGCCTTTATCAACGTACTGAGCGAAAAATGACGGCCAATCCTAGTGATAAGGTGAGCAGGTCTCAAGCCCAACAAAATTTTGAAACAAGGATGAAAATCGCTTGGTATTCCAGAAGCGGTTAGTCTTAACATCAACCGAGAGCTCCCTGGACTTAAAATTTGTTACCTGTGGGTTGGATGTGGAAAACCCGGTTTGGAATTCTGTACAGATACCGTTCAGTGCGACAGCTGGTAAGGCAAGGCGTGATCAGAGTTCCTGAATAACGTTCAGTCCTCCGGGAGCGGGCAAGCCTCATAAAGAGGTGAGGACCCTTGTGCAGAGCTGGCACGTCGCTGGGAACGCGGCCTGAGGGCTGGGAGGGGTTCACAGCGCGGAACGCTCGCTCGGCTGGCTGTCGCCCAGGCTGAGCACAGCGAACGCGTCCAGGCCCACAAACGGAGGGAAGCTGTGGGCAGGGTGCAGGGGCACGGGACCGGGAGCCTGCGCTCAGCCTTTTCGCACAGACCGAACGATACTTTCTGCGGCCCCTTCTGTATCCAAGACTCTCCGCTCACTGCGATTAACGACAACTGAACACCCTGAAGTAAAGGCCTCTGGGTGCAGCTTCTGGTCTCCGGGGTTCACCTACCGCTCGCCTTCTACGGAAGCAGAGACTCCGTGAATTCTCACCGTAAGATACACAGGCGTGAAACCGACCGCTCTAAGCGCTCTCGGCTACTGTGAATCCCGGAGATGCCCGAAGCAGCCTCGGACTGGGACACAGTCTACGTAACCACTTGTCACGAGGCCGACGCATTTCACAGGACGTACCGGATGGTCCTACTGGGCGTCCTTCTCACCCAGGGTTGGGAGGATCGGAATCCCGGGGGGAGCCGTGCCTCTGCCTCTTACGAGGGCGCCTGTCCCCAGGGCACACAGGCACAGGCGATGCTGGGAAGCAACGCTCTGAGCGTTACCTGCAGCTTACTGTAACAGTGCACACGGCGCCCTCGGCGGGGAGACCACCCCTCGGCCCGGGGAGGCCTGCGTTCAAGGGCAGGGGCGAAGGGCGGCAAGGAGGGCGCCTTCCGCCTTGCGCGTCGAGGCTGCTTCCCCGAGGGCGCTCGCTCTCGGCGCCGGGCACCGAGGGGAGCAGCGCTGCGGGGCGCGCCGCGGGCTGTCGCCCAGCCCCTCACCGCTGCCGTCGCGACTCCCTCGCACTCCCTTCGCTAACGTAAACCCGGCTTCACTTCGCGAGCGCGCTCAGCCCCGGCGTCGCCGCACCTCGAGCAAAGCGAAGCGGCCGCGTCAGGTGCAAAAAGGTAACTAACCACAACACAACCATTTCACCCCAAGACGGGAACACGTCTCACCACCATCCCGCCTGTGTCTCCGCAAAAGCGTGTCCTGACTTCAACCCAACCCCATCCTGTCAGGGCGAAGGCCCCGAACGGGGGTCTCCACGTCTTCGTCACGAAAGCCACCCTGGACAACAGCACCGTGCACCTCCCTCTGCGGCCACCGCTCCCAGCGAACAACCCCCTTCACCGCACGGATGAGGAAAACGCCGCCGCAGCTCCTCAGAACTCAGAGCAGCACGCTGCCCTTCCAGTCTCGTGACACTTCAAACGCCACAGGTTCGCCTAAGCCGGGCGAGCCGAGTCCCCAGCGCACGGACGACATTCCACACGGAAGCCCCCCGCAGCTCGGTCCGAGCGTCACCTTGCCCCGACCCAGCCGTCGGGGGGCGCCGACGGGCTGACCACGGAAACCCTCTAACGCGACCTTCGGGCCGCGGCGGCCTCACGCCCGGGCGTCCCCGTCGGAGGGGCGTCAGGAGGCCCCGCGGCCTTCCTCACAGAGGTTTTCCTCAGAGAGGCTCCGGACTCTCGCGCGCCGCCCCGCGGACCGCGTCTCCGCACCTCGACCCGAGCCGGCCGCCGCGGGAGGCCCGGCCCTCGGCACCGCCGGCGGCGAGGAGCCCTCACCCGCCCGGGCGGCGCCTCCGGGAAGCCGCCGGCGTTCGAAGCTTACGCCGCCGCACATGCGCCCCGGGCCCCTCCGGGCGCCGCCGCCGCCGCCGCCGCCGCCGGGCCCTCTTCCGCCCGCGCTCCCGGCACTCCCCGCGCGCCCCTCTGGGCCCAGACCGTCCGCGCCGCCGCACATGCGCCCCGGCCCCTCGGAGGCGCCTTGGCGGCCGACCCAGCTGGCGCCCCGCGTTCCCGACACGCCCCGCGCCCCCCACGCCTCGGCCCCCGCCTTCTCCGACACCCCACGGCAAAACCGCGGAAGATGGCGCCTTAAAGCGCCCGCGCCCACCTTGCCGAAGTGCGCGGCCCAGTGCACGGGCGTCCAGCCGTAGAAGGAGTCCTCGGCGGCCAGGTGGGCGCGTGGCGTGTGCTGCAGCAGCGAGCAGAGCGCGGCCAGGTCCCCGTCGCGGCAGGCGCGGTGCAGCGGGAAGCGGAGCGACAGCAGCTCCTCGCTGGAGAAGCCCGCCTCCACGCCCGCGCCCGCTCCCGCCGCCGACATGGTCCGTCACCGGAGAGCGCGGGCTGGCGAGTAGAGAAGACACGCCAGTCAGGACCCGAGAGGCCGCCGCCGCCGTCCGAGCACAAAGGAGCGAGGGCAGCACCGCCGCCGCGTCCCGCCGGCTGCCGAGCAGAGCGCGCACAGGGGCGGGGCGGGGCGGGGCCTGCGGCGCCAGGACTGGGGCTGGCGCCGGGAGACGCCGGGCCAGGAGGCGGGGCCTGGGCCGTCGGGGGCGGAGACCGGGGGCCGTGGGGCGGGGCCTACTCCTGGAGCGACGGGGAGGGGCGGGGGACCGGGCCAGGAGCAGGGGGCGGGGGTAAGGCGGGGTGTAGGGCAGGGGACTGTGCCAGGCCGTTCCCGGTGCCCTGCAGGCGGCGTGGGCTCTGCGCCGCGCCTCCTGTCCAGACCCCAGGCCCGACAGTGTCCCGATCCCCCTTGATAAAAAGCTCCGGGAGGCGCAGGTTTGGGGTTTGGGCCCGGCCCTCTGAGGTTGTGGCGGCGCAGCTCCAATTCGCTCAATTAATCAGGCGGGGCGTCTGCGGGGACCTGAGGTCAGTTCCCGCGCTTTCTGTCCTGCTTGTCTGGCGAGGTGGGCTGCACGTTTTCGAGAACCCATGGCAAAAACACTGAGAAACATGGCAGCATGCAAGGAAATACTAAATTCTCTTTCAATGATCGAGGATCACAGATTTTTTTTTAAGGTATTCTTTTCTGATTACCAGTAATTTCACTGTCAAGGGATAACCACTATTAACGTTTATGGCTATTTCCTTACAGTACTTTTGTAACCTTATGGTCTGTTTCACTTGTATTTATTCGTTTTCCTTGTGTATATTGCTTTCCTTTTTTCTTCTGCAAAATTCTAAATCACTGTAATTCAGCTTTAAGTAGGTAACCAGATGTCTGGGAAGATATAGATGCATACGGTAGCACATTGCAGCATTGGTTAATAAAACAAGAAATTAGAAACCTAACGCCTAGCAAAGGGAAATTGTTAATTTATGGTATAAATATGCAACACGGTCATCTACTCATCACACAACAAATGTGGGTTGAGTACAATAGTGGATGAAACACTGGGAAATGTTCCAGACACAGCAAAGGAGAAAACGTAGCGGGTATCTCACCTTAGTGAGCAAGTACTCATGGATGGGAAGTGTGAACGAGACTTAGAATCTGTCTCCCATCAGTTAGATGAGGCAAGAAAGGAAATTTCAGTAATTCGAGCTATACTTTTTTGTTTGGACCAAAAAGGTAGAAGTATGCTATAAACCCATTTCGAGCTTGGTCCACTCCAGAATTCAATTATTTTTCTTTGTAAACACCATGATGCTTTTAATCTAATTATCTCTTTAAGAGGTATACCTGGGACTTCCCTGGTGGCGCAGTGGTTAAGAATCTGCCTGCCAATGCGGGGGACACGGGCCCGAGCCCTGGTCGGGGAAGATCCCACATGCCGCAGAGCAACTAAGCCCCTGCACCACAATTACTGAAGCCTGCGCACCCTAGAGCCCGTGTGCCGCAACTACTGAGCCCGCGTGCTGCAACTACTGAAGCCCGCGCACCTACAGCCCACGCTTGGCAAGGAGAAGGCACCGCAATGAGAAGCCCGCACACTGCAACGAAGGGTAGCCCCTGCTCGCCAAAACTATAGAGAAAGCCCGCACACAGCAACGAAGACCCAAAGCAGCCAAAAAAAATTTTTTTCAAATAATAAAATAATAAATAAAATTTAAAAAAAAAGATATATACCTGGGCGATGACTTCCACCCTTCCTAGGAAAGAGGCAGCCCATTTTGCAGAAGGACATAAGCACACCTTGTCATCCATAATAATGAGAGGGGAGTAATATTCCTTACCCTACCTTCTGTGAATGATGAAGCCGAGGCAGAGATAGGCCAAGGAACTTGCTCAGGGACAAGCTGCCTGCCTGTGGCAGAGCTTAGAATAATATCCAGACCAGTTTCCAACCCACAGTTAGACTTTTTTTAACCTTGAGATTTATTTTGCATAAAGAGTCCTAAGGTCTCAGAAAACAAAGCAGGTTACAGTGATAGGGTGCTTAGAGTTCATCCTTCCTCAGCTAAGATGACTTTCCAGTTTCTCAGGGCTACTCGGACCATATACATATTGAAGTAGCTATCTAGAAATAGATTAATATGATGATGGACCTCTAAAATATGCTGCATGGTAATTGTGGGTATGAGAATGATAAAGGGCAGTCTAGGGAGTACTGCTACAGTCAACAGTCCAATTGCTTGGTCCCAGGTTTTGCCCAACTCTTATAATTATTACTAATTACAGATTTTCTTTAGGACTGTTGTTTTTAAAGAGCTCTAGGGAAAAAGAGTGCCTTCATGACTCACATCCTTTGTTTCTTATTAGATAAAGCAACCATAAATAAATGACAAAGATTCTCTCCTTGACCGAGCTCTACTCAGGATCCCCTGAGTTTCAATGAGGCCTCAACTTTTGGACTTGAGTCTTCATCTCAGCATTGTCCAATTCTAGCAAGAATCCTGCCAAGTTGGTTTGGCTAGAATCCCCTGGCCCCCATCTCTGCTAACCCTCCAAATCTAGTTGGGTTCTTCGCCCTCCCACCACCCCCAGATGACCGCTCACCCTGGCTTGCCTTCAGCCAGAGTCCTCTTAGGTCGGTTTAGCCAGAACCCCGGATGTTTAGTTGACCCTAATGGCTCCTCTTAATAACTCTCCATCCACTGACACCCACCCTGCTCCTTGGCTGTGAGTTCCCGCTTGCCCGTGTGGCATTCAGAGTTCAGTCTGAGCTCTTTCCTCTACTGCAAGAAAAAAACAAGGTCTCACCAGTCCCACTGCAGGGGTCCCAACACCCATATGAGGCCCCCTCTTGGATCAAGTCCGCCTTTCCATGCTTTAACAAGTGTCTCTGAATAATGTCGTCTTTAACAGCGTGAAATAATTTTTTTCTTTAACGTAAGCAAACTTGGGTATTTGAAGATATGATTCAAATACATGATGGAAAAGAGAAAGATTCAAAACTCAATATATGTATTAGAAACAAAACCCAACTCAAGCCTGCCTTTATGATTGGCATTGTGTTTTCCAAAAAAGGATTGTGTGGTGAGGAATTGCTCACGTGGGCAGTACTCAGTGGAAGGAAGCTCCCGTGAGAAATGCACAGAGGGGTCCACACACTTGGTAGATGGCGGCGGGACTCTTCTGAGCGTGGGGAGGAGGGTCCACTCTGATGGTGCCCTCAGCCTGGCCTAAAAGCGGGACCAGAGCCCAACTGTTCTGTTCTCTCTGCTGCCCCTTCTCCCCGCCCTACATCTCCCACCACGCCGCCGAATCCATCTGCGAAGAAGGCAAATCTGCTTAAAATTGGACGTAAGAGTCTGGGTCCACTTGGGCTACCGTCAAAAGTACTGCAGACCAGATGGCTCAAACAACAGAAACGTGTTTCTCACAGCTCTGGAGGTCCGTGATCAGGGGGCCAGCTCTGTGGGTTCTGGGGAGGCCTGTCCTCCTGGTTCACAGTTGCCTTCTCTTGTCCTCACGCTGTGGACAGGGGGGCCCGTTAAACCCTCAGTGCAAATTTGCTGAGTGGTGATGTGAAATGCAGGCTAGACTCAGATCCGTTGGCCACTGCTTTTCAGAAAGAGAGACACGCCCTGGACCAGGGATCTTGGCCATAACCAACTTTAAGTTTCTGGAATCCTACTGCTTGTCCTGTCTTACTTATATCTTGTTAGAAAAGTGATTAGCACAAACGTTCTTAAAATGAAATAGAAACAGAAGGTCTGCGCTCCCTTCAGAAGCAGACTGTGAAAGCGGAACCATGGGGATGGAGGGTGAAGGTTTGCAGAAGGGAAAGGAAACAGCGGGCTGGCCGGCCAGCGCCCAGAGATGGGGGCAGCCGGGTTGCGTTGCTGCTGAGCAGGGTCCTGCTGGCCGCTGAGGATGACCTCTCGCGCCTCCTGACCCCATGACCTTTAACTTGGCAACCACACAGGCTGTTAAAATGTCTTAGCTGATTCCTTCATTTCCCAGTGTTATCACTGGAGAGAAAAGCCCCAGTGAGTCATGGCTAATATTAAACGTGCCCGGCTGTCCCTGTGGACGGGGTTGGTGGCCCCCCCGTGGAGCAGGTTGGGAAGTCCCTGCGTGGCCACCCTGAGGCCTGCCTTCCAGGCAGAACCACAGCCTTTGGGCGGAAGCTGCTGACAGCTGCTCGCTGGACCAGACCCAGGCACCTGGTGCAATGGATGTTTGTCACGTCTTCCTCGCCCATCCTGACACTCCCACTGTTGAATTTATTCTTTAAGAATGTTCCAGAAACAAGAGCATGTAGCCAGACAGGAATCTCTGTTACCGAGGAGAGTATAATCCTAGCCCCCTGAGGAAATAACGGGAGTTAGGTTGTCAAATTAAAAGTACTCTTGCCCAGGAGGCCAGGTGGGAGCAAAAAGCTCTAGTCACTTGGTCCCAAGGTGGTCTCTACCTGGAAGACCAACACGTGGGTGCCTCTTTCATCCTGCTTCCCTGGAGCCCTGCACCCCGTTCCTGGGAGCATGGTGGGGGGAGGGGGAGGGAGGCCCGAGCAGCGGTGGCCCCGGGCACTGTGGCTAGTACTCCAGCCCTTCGCCCTTTCTCTGTGTCTGTGGGCGAGGACGCGTGAAGAAAGTATATTAACGGGTCTCCTTGCTGGGGGAGCATTTCTCAGCCAGTTGGCTTCATCTCCTCATTCATTAAAGAAGATAAACGTTACCCGAGCTTGGCAAAAGGGTCTTTGTCAGTGGAGGTTGTGGATGTGAAAGCGTTTTCAGATTGAGAAGATCTAGGTTACTAACTGTTCTCCAAAGTACCTTTATTATTTTCCCCACCGCCAGCAATTTATAAACATTTCAGTTACCAAGTCTTCCTGGTATGAGGTATTACCTACTGCTAGATGTTTTGTTTCTCTTGAAGACTAAATTACAGTGTCCAGGCCCCCGGGGGTCTTGTTGTCAGAAACAGGAGCCACTCAGAATGTGCGCCCGCTGCCCTGAGTGTCCCCTCAGAGCTTGCCTGTCTCCCGGGCACTGCTGTCCTAGGGCTGCTGGTGTGACAGCACACTGACCAGTGGCTG